GTATGTATGTGTGTTTACACTATAATCATCATCGTTATCATCATCATTATTGTCGTCGTCTTTATCCTAATCATCGTCATCATCATTATCGGCAGCAGCAGCACTATCTTCATTATCATCACCATCGTCATCTTCAGCAGCAGCAGCAGCAGCAGCATTATCGTCACCATTATCTTTAACACTAAAACCACTTACAAAGTATTTTAAACAATACACAAAAGGACATTCAATGTGACTTCTGATCACATTTGTTATAGGTAGAAGAATCAAACTAGTTACTAAGTCTCAGTGAGATAGTTCATCACCTTGTTCAGTAGAGTACAATGTACGAGTATATGCAATTTCTCTCGAAGGAATATGCTAGTAAAATAAAGAAATTCAAATGCGAACCCAGTGTGGGTGATTTGAGGGTGTCGCTGGTAGGTCCAACTTCTTTACTTTCCCTCTCTTGTTTCTGTTTGCTTGTCTTCCTTCCTTTCAGCGCTAAATGACCATAACGTGTCGATGTGCTTCTGTTTACCCAAACAATCGAAAAAGCAAATTCAGTAGGGTATTTCTAATATTGAACAATGACGGTTGATTCAATTGCTCTTGTGTAAGGGGACATGCTAGTAAAAAAAAAGAAAGCCTTGTGCAAATTCAATGAGGTATGTCTCAAAATTATTTAATAAAGTATGACCTGAGACTTTTCTAAAGGGGACTCGCTGGTTAAAAAAATTCCTTGCTCAAATTCAAAGAGGTATTCCTTAAAATTGTTTAATAAAGTATGACATGATACTTTTCTTATGGGGACATGCTAGTAATAAAAGCCTTGTGCAAATTCAATGCGGTTTTTCTTAAAATTGTTTAATAAAGTATGACGTGAGACTTTTCTTAAGGGGACATGCTAGTAAAAACAATAGCCAAATGCAAATTCAGTGAGATATTTCCAAACATTGTTTACTAATGTATGGCGTATCACTTCCCTTTCCCCCAACAGCAATGGCTGACGGACCTGGAGGTGTTTGCGACTCTTGTGGCTGCTCTCATCCATGACTTTGAGCACACGGGAACCACCAACAACTTTCACATCAACACCTCGTGAGTTCTTCTGTCTGTGTATTACACTGATAACAATAACAATCATCATCATCATCATCTTCATCATCATCATCATCATCATCATCATCATCATCATCATCATCATCATCATCACAGTAACCAAGTCATCAAGTGCCAGATCTGGGACAGCAGCTATCATGGCTCTCCATAAATTTCTTTGCTCGGATGTTCTCAAAATATCTTCATGATCCTCATCTTTCCTCGTCACCCATCTGATTAATCTCTCCAAGTAGGTTGCTGTTGTCTACCTCAGCCTTGTTTCCTTTCAATTTTGCAAGTGAAAACCAGATGTTCAAGGACTATTTAGTTGTCTATTTAGGCGGCCGAGAAACTGCATTTTTGTCTTTTCTGATTGTACAGCACAGGTCAAGGCGCTTTACTTTTCGTTAATCTGAACACAAAACATAAGTGAATATACATGCGTGCGTACACTTCTCAGACCAATACCATAGCTTAAGCAAATATTCACTCTACCACAACACAAAAGTGCACACGACATTAAAAATTCAAGAGCGCCGTGAACAAGAAAGACTTACTTCCAATATACAATATTTCTCTTGCTTTGATAGGAGTGGAAGAATAACGATGTGTGAGGCTAAGCAAATGTCTACCTTAGAATTACAAAGTTCTAACTGATATCTTTGCACGTTTTGAGTTACTAAGACCTTCAGATCAGAAACCAATTGTTCTATCTGCCGTATCAAAATTGTAAGATTATTTTTAGTCGTTAATGAGATATATTCAGAGAATTGCATTCTTAAAAACTTGACAGGCTGTGAAATTCATATTTTTGCTCCTGATTTCTCAAAACTTGGTACTGAGCAGATAAGACTGTATAATTCTAAGGTAGCGAAATATTTACTGGACAAACGCTTGTTCGCTTGATTTCCTCTTCCACAAGAATTGTAAAACCCACAGAGCTTGCTGCTGAGCGAAAATATGAGCTATCGAAAAATACAACGAATAAATTCTACATGTAACTCTACTCCTCATTATGATTATCACCGCACTGTCTTTGTGTCTCCCCACCCCCCCCCCCCCCCCCCCCCCAGCTCCGAGGTGGCGCTGCTGTACAACGATCGAGCGGTGTTAGAGAACCACCACATCAGCGCCGCCTTCCGGCTAGTCCGAGAGGAGGAGCACAACATTTTATGCAACCTCAGTAAAGAGGAATACAGGTAATTTCGTTAGTTCAAAGTTTTATGCAACCTCAATAAAGAAGAATACAGGTAAGTTCGTTGGGCACAACATTTTGTACAACCTCCTAAAGAGGGTACAGGTACGTTCCTTGGGTACAACGTTTTATGCAACCTTACTAAAGAGGAATATAATATGTAAGTTCGCTGAGCACAACATTTTGATGCAACCTCGGTAAAGAGGAGTACAGGTAGGTTTGTATGTCATTTATTTGTACTTTTAACTTCCCATTCAAAACTGTTACGTTCAAATATTATTCCTACTTTTGAAACGTCAATCAGAACCTGCGCACGGCACACGTATGACCTAATTGTGCTGCGAATATCGTAAAACGCAAGCTGATAGAAAGGTACCTTAAGCTTGATGTCAAACCCCAGCACTTTCAGCAAAGTGAAAAATCGTTTAGAAAAAGGAGAAGATATTGTTGTATAGATTTAACAACCCTTCCAATACTGTAAGGTTTTTTAAAAGGCGTGACCTCCGAATTTAACGTCGCTCTGATATAGGGGCGAGCCGTTTAGCGAGGATAGTCTTAAAACTCCCTGAAACAACCCAAGTTTATAACATCTGGCGTAGTCAAGCATTACACCAACTAAGCTAAAGGCGCACCACCAGGGAAATAAGCTTGTGAAATTTGTAATGGCTGGTTTACACACTATTTGTGCAAATATACCCCCCTCCCCCCAACTCACCCCCTTCCCATGTGCTCTCGTGGTTAGGATGTCGAGGTCGTAACTGAAAGGTCATGGGTTCGAACCCCTTGGGAAAGCACCAGCAAGAAGTTTTCTCACTTCTCCCAGGGGGAAATTGGTACCCGGTTACTGACAACGAAACAATTCCTTGCCAGTTTGTTACAGACTGAGCGCTTTACCTTGGGTATTCGAGAACGTTTCTTAGTGCTCTAGGGTTTGCTAGGTTATTGGTACTTGTAAAGCCCATAGAGCATACTCTAGGGCAATGGTATGCGCTGTGTAACTGCAATTATGATACCACAAAAATCATTTTCTGTTGGGTTTTTTAAACGAAAATGTATTTGGTTGGTGGGTGCTCAGGTGTGGCTTGCTCCTTCTTTCCCACCAAACATAATAATACAATGCATATCGTCCTTATCTCCCCTCTTTCTTTCCCCGTATTCCGCCTCTTCATCTGTTCTTTGTATGTTTCTCTTTACAAACACCTCTGTAATCTTATGGCCCATTTGGCCTTTATGGCCTATTTTTGTTGAAAGTGATATAAAACTGTAAATCAAAGTAAAAATTAAAACTAAAAGACTTTTGAGCTCCTCCTCCCC